GTTGGCCTCGTCAAGTCACTGGACGAGGCGTTAGCCGCCAAGGCTGCGTCGCCCGCACCTGCGAAGCCTGTCAAGCCCCCCCTCTTGGAGGCGGAGGCGCATGCCAAGATCGCTGCCGCTCGCAAAGCTCACAGGACCGACCAGGCTGCTGTGCGCTCAGAGTCTCGGAGGGCGAGGAATGGCTCAGGCAGGCCAGCGGGGATGAGGCAGCCGCGGCCGAGGCAGCCAGTGAGGCCACGTTTGGAGTGGCAGACGGCACGCGCCAAGCATGTCCCGAAAGCGGCACCGGAGGCAGCACCCACTCCTTCGTCCATCAACCTCTCGATGCTGCTCGAGGCCCAGGGCGACGTACAAGAGCTCGCCGTCATCGAGGGCCCAGCGTTCGACATCAGCGGGCTCGAGCTCTCTGACGAAGAGCGCGCGGACTTGGAGAGGGTCAAGTGCCGCCTCGCTACTGAGCTTCAGAAGGCTGTGTCCACGGCGCTTGGTGCTTGGTGCCGCGTGTCAGCAGATCGCCACGCTCAAGGCCGAGGCCGCCGCCGTGCACAGGCGGCCCGGGGCCAAGCGGCGCCGCGGCGACGCCGAGGAGGATGGCGGAGGGACGACCCCCTGCGCCAGAAGCGGCCGCAGCTGATGGGGTGTCTCCAGGCCTGCTGGCCCTGAGGATGGTGCTGATCTCGGCGATGGCGTTTCTTCTTTTTCCTCTGGCCCAGCGGGCAGCGACGGCTTCGGCGCCAATCCCGAAGCCTGACGGCAAGCCAGCAGGATTCGCTCCCAGAAGAGGCGAGATGAGGCTGCAGCGTCTGCTGCCGCCGCAGGGGCAGGTGCCAACTCCCCTGGCTCCTCCAAGGAGGAGCGATGCGGGTAGTCTTTCTCAGCCTCTTTACGGGGTGCTCGCCATGGCCTTACGACGAGATTGAGTTTCTCACCCCGGCGGAAGAGTTGGAGTACGAAGGAGAGCCACAGACGGAGTCGTGGAGCCACTTAAGGTCGTCGATGATGAGTTGGTTCCATGACTCTTCGGCCTCCCAGAGGGTACCCATCAGCCACCGTAGTTGTTGGTCACCACGGTGGGTGATGCACCGTAGGTGCCGTAGCCGTTTTCCTTTCAGGATGGTTTGTCACGTTGGACGACTTGTTGTCATCAAGACCTCCTCATCCGTCCACATTGGCCCCTGATGCGTACCCATCGGTCGTTGAAAGTAGGTATTTTTGCATTCCCAGATTCCAATCTATTTAGGGCGCCTCTTCCTACTTCA